TGAATGTAAGTCAATTCCCACATAATTTTGTTTCTTTTTCATTCTACATCAACTGTTCCTATGTGTAACGTAAGGAGTACAGTGCCAGGGGCAAGGCTGTTTTCAATTAACAAATTATACATAGACTTGGATCTTCTAGGTTGCGTAGATCATGCATGCACACGTGCACCCACAACTGTTAACTATTATTATTACATTTTCCATCTCGATCAAACAAGTAACTATGAATGCGATTATGACGTCTGACATCTTTCAGTAGAGAGCTGAACTAAAATGACAGTAAAACATAATAAACATTCACAAATTTAGATAAATCGTTTTGAAGTAATTTGTTTCAATAGATGAAACGGACGTCGAGAAGAGTATTGCAGATCTGGTGTTCGGAAAAGTGCTTGTTTTGGGTTTAGTTTACGCCATGGGTTCCAGTTTTACTTTTTATTCAAACTAGACCTAGGTACTTGACTCGCGTTTGCCATTCGATCTCCCTGCCTGAAATCGTGACCCTTGTATCTGGAGAAACATTACGTCTCCCCAAGTCTATCGCCTTCACGTGGAAGGTTGCTCACGTAAAGGCTGTACAATAGTGGAGACAGCACAGCTCTTTGAGACTGCCTTCCATCAGGCACAACATTTCGGTCTTCAACTTCTTCTGTTAGCCTTTGCAGCACAACACGTTCAGCCAACTTAGTCGTTGAGCAAAGCAGACTAATCGGACGGTGATTCTGGGAAAACAGCGGGTTCTGGCCCTGTTTCGGAATCATGACAACTTCGGCACGCTTCCATCTTCGGGGGAAGTATCAACAATTAAGGCAAAATATAAATTATAGTTCAATACCATCTCCACAAGTTGTTTTGTTATTTATTTATATAGGTTAGGTGCACAAAATGTCATATGTCACAGAATGTCTCAGAACTCGGAACATAAGTGAACAGAACAGCACGCCTCTGAAATATGTCATCTTTCTTCGTCTCATACAGGTAACAGATTCATTGTCCTTTATTAGCTATAACCGATGTTGCGACATGGTGAAATAGAAACGAATCCCTTTAAATGTTGAATGCATTATTTCATTCATCTTGTTCAAGTATTTAAATAATTTTTTAAAGGAAAAGGTTGAAATGATAAGTTTTAAATGCGTTGTTTTAGAGCTCTTCTATGAAAACTACTTGATTTTTGTCAGGAGGAACATTCCCCATTGAACTTCACTATTCTTCAAAAAAAATTGAAAAAATTATGTACTCGTGCATTTCTATAAAAACGTTACATTCAATAAACTTTCCGTTTATGTCGACCCATCCTCCACTTTTAATCCTCACAACTTTAGTTTTTCACATAGTGAAATAAAATTCGAAAAGAAACATTTCGATTATATGTAAATTACTGGAGATTATGAAACGCATCGAACCGTTTGGCATAAAATGCCGTAACCGGTATAATAATTAATTCACGTCTCGATAACCGAATCTTAGTCAATAAACCTTGGAAAGGTAACACGGCAAGTTCTTGGCAAACAACAACGATGAGCGCCCTCGGTATTTACCCAAGATCGTATCATTGGGCAATGGCCCAAGACACTTTCACCTAACGGAAACTATCCAAAAATAATATTTGGATGAATCTTCCAAGGCCGGCCTAACGGTACGCCGAATGAACTCATGCTGCATTTCATTTGAAGAAGCTTTCAATCGTATGCATCTGATGAAAGGGAAACCGTTAGTTTCACGGATAATGCGTTTGGAAGTACTTCAATTTTCTTTTCAGCCCAGTCGAATTAGCTCAAAGAAGGGGGCCAGCAACGCAAACATTTTTACTGGTAATTTTCTTTCGGAATTTTTCGGGGGGGGGGGCACTGACAGTCTCAATTTAAGTTCCCTGGGTATCAGACCCGTTGCGTCATCCGTTACCTTGAATTTAGGGGTTGATTTTTGTTTATTGAATAAATCGTTTGTTTTCAATTTTACACGAAAAATAGTTATTACAAAAGTTGCTTCATATCAAATTTCATTCTCATCAATTGTTTCATAGGATCGATATTTCAGTTTGTGCATTGCCAAATGCATTTTTGATAACTTGAAATGCGGTCACCGTAATCTCTTCATAAAGACATGTTAGAACAAGTCAATTACGACTCCACATTCATAAGACGCAATGTTACTTCGGAATGACGCATTTCAACGGAGCCGAAACCGAAAAACACTCTTCAAAGTCGATCCATTTTTTGTAATTACTGCGGTGGTGAACTCGAAATTCTTGTCAGAAGGTGAGACAATAAAAAAAGAATATTTTCTGAGCGTTATGCGGCATTTTAGAGAGCAAATTCGTCGAAAAAGACCAGATATGTGGAAAGAAAAGTCACGACTGTTACACCCCGATAACGCATCATCTCACAAGGACAATATTGTGAACGAATTTCTGGCAAAAACCCAACACATATTATCGAACAGCCACCATATTCACCCGATATGGCTCCAGTCGATTTTTTCTCCAAAACTCTAATTACCACTTCGTGGCATCCGTTTGTAGTCAATAGATTACATAAAAGAGAATTTGCAACGAGAACTGGAGTCGATTCCAAAAAAATACGTTTAAAGAATGTTTTGATGTTTGTGTTGTTCGTTGGCGCAAGTGAAATATTTCATAAAGGACCTACATTGAAGTCGATACAATAAATTTGGATGAGAAAGACATATTTTGAGTTTTATTGACCAATTTCAGGTACTTTTTTGACATAGTATTACAACAGTGAAGTTGTCACAAAAAAACTCTTTAGAGTTCATACAACATACAAAAAACGTGGTTCTGCAAGGAGGTGACATTTTGGTTTTTTTTGATGTTAGTTCCTTATTTCCTAGCGTTCCAATTCCAGACCTTGCAATACCTCAGGGAATTACTAGAGAAAAATAATTTCAATAATAAAGAAATCGATGAATTCGTTTCTCTTACTAATTTGTGTATAAAACAAAATCGGTTCCAGGTAGAAGGTTGCTTTTATGAACAACAGGAAGGAACGCCCACGGGAAACCCCTTCTCCCCCTACCTGGCAGACCTGTTCATGAGCAGATTCGAAATGGAAACCAAAGAAAAGTCGAAGTATTTTCCTAGGATTTGACTAAGGTATGTGGATGATATTTTCGCGATATTCAATACCAAAAAAATCGAATATTGACGACTTTGTTTCCATTTTAAATAATAGATGTCCATCAATAAAATTCACGTATGAGTTGGAAAATAAGGGACAACTACCATTTCTTGACGTTTTGGTAATGAGGAGCCAATATGGAGGGTTATAATACGATATATTTAGAAAAGAAACAAGCACGTATAGGTATATTCCTGACAGTTCACATCACTGTGGACAGCACAAACGTGCTGGGTTGAATTTTTTAGTGCATCGTCTTTTGACTTTCTCTCTAACACATGATAGGTTCACAAAAGAAAGACGTACAATACAGGAAATATCAGCCACTAACGGTTTCTCGAGGGGTATTGTAGATGACATAATAAGGAAAAAGAAGTTTACGTTAAGAATGAACGACAAAAACCAAGATAAATACATCTCAGTTCCATACCACCAATATACGAGGAACTATGGAAATATTTTCAAGGAACTAGGTATGGAGGTGGTTTTTAAAACAAGTCATACACTACAGAGCCTTTTGGGAAGTCCAAAAGACAAAGTCGAGAATTCGGAAAAGTCTGGAATTTACGAAATTGAATGTAAGGACTGCGATGCAAAATATTATGGACAGACAAAAAGATCTATTAAAGTAAGATATAAGGAACACATAGCACACTTAAAATATGGAAGACCTGAAAAATCAGCAGTCACCCATCATATTTTGCAACAAAACCATTCCATAGACTTCAGTTCATTAAGATTAGTTAGACAAGTTAACAACAACAGGCAACTAGATGCCTATGAGAGTGTAGAAATAAGTAAACACAATAATATTATGAATAACGATGACGGCCCTATACCAAAGAACATACTATATAGCTTGTTTAAATAAAATAAAATAATGTTGTTGGGTTTACTGATTTACATAAGGACACATTGCAAAAATAAATTTGGATAGGCAATATTGTGAAATTAATTTTATATAGCTGAACATTGTTTTATATAAACATAAATTGTAAAATGATAGATAAGGCAAAATTGTAAAATTAATTGAGGTTGGTATACCTGTATGGTTGGTAAGCCTGAATGGTTTACCTGTATGGGGTACCTTTATAGCATAAATAGGATTAGGTCGCACTAGTTCTTAGTTTTAATCTTCCTCTTTGAAGAGATCACTTGGTGATCGAAACACTTGTCGAGGTGTTAAAGACTCCAGTAATATACAAAAAAAAAAGGTTAACTGATACCGGGTGATCTTCAAATGGCACCAAAAAAGAAATTGTCGAATTTCGCCTATTTTCGAATACCTCCAGAGCTAATCGAATTTCCTAAATTTAAAAAACGTCATATCCGATGGTTTCCGATTTTCTCATGTTGGCGATCCTAATGGAAACAAATGAGCTATCACATAATCTTTTTTCTGAATATTAAAGGTTCGGATTTCCATTACCAAAAGAATAGAGTGAAATATCATAATATTTTGTTACGTTTCAATTTTGTCAGCAACTTTTTTAGACAATAGAAGTCCCAACATTTAACATCCAATGAACATTGTCAACCAGATTTGAATAAATTCTTGTTCTATTTAAAGGGAATTGAAGGGGTGTCCTGTCTTCCCAATTTCAATCAAATCACTGAGCTTTAGGCTGGAAGGATTAATATTATTTTGTAGCAATGTTCCAGCTATTTCAATTGTTCATTTTCTTGTATCTCGCCCAGTGCGATAACCCCGCACACTTAAAAAAAAAAAACAAAAAAACTCCCAACTCCAAACGAGCCCGAGTAAAAAACGGGTTCGCAGACCAGAGCCGCTTGCCCACCCTCGCGAAACCGCGAGGACCACTTCTGTACCTCAAGAACGACGGCGAATCGACAAATTCGTCTCGATCCGGCCTTCGACCAGAACGAACGCACTCTTCTAAACAGCCTCCTCCAGTTCGCGGTATAACCGCGAGAAAAATGCCCGACGTCGTCGATTCGATTCCGCATAATCGGTCGGAAAAACCTTGACAGGTAGCAAATAACTGCGAGCGGAACGATTGACTCTTGGTCATTGTCGTGGAGAAAATGCTCAAAGGTGGTGGTGCTGGTTGAGTGTGAGTGATGTGACAGTTTTCGTGGCGAGGATAGCAGGGATTTAACATGATCGGACACGCTGGATTCTGGGTAAATAAGAAAGATCCCGTATGAAAGGATGCATGCATTGATTGGAGAATTCATGTTTGAACTTTGTTACTGTTTTCAAATTCGTCCCACACTTATCATTTATACCATTCCTGAGGTTATCTGACAGGTTACTTCTTCCAAAACAAACTACCCAGTAAACAGGCAATACACTGTAATTCAGCTTTAGGTTTTAATTTAATACAATCACTTATAAAATTGTCAAACAGGAAAATAAAGGATTTGGTTTCATCTCTGCTCTAGACCATATGCAATATCTCCAGCAAATGGTTCAATTACAAAGAGTCTCGGTGAAAATTCAAATGAATAAATCGTCATGACAGAAAAAAGATTACATCTTCCGAACCCTTCGGGTCCTTTATTGAAAGAACTATGACCTCTCAAGGACAAGCCAAAGTCTTAAGTACCACACCAAGCCTAACTCTTTTCCTTGAAGACATTGGTTATCGAAGTGCATGTAAGAACCAAACAATCAAAGTTTCATACAAAAAAGACATGCCAATAAGTCTGCGATGGATAATAATTCACCATCAATACTTTACAAGACCTAGTAGAAGATATTAATCTAAAAGACGTTTGTGAAAGAACTCTTTGCGTCTTCATTGAATGTGCTTTTAAACACCATGAAATCATGGTTAGGTCTCTGAAGGATAAAAATTTTTAAGATTCAGGTGGATGCAACGAGAAAAAGGTAATGGAACCAGAAATGAAGTAATTTCAAACTGAAGCCAACGGTACCTACCTTACAAGAAAGGTTTTAGCTTTTATACTAAAATGTGTGATAATGCAGGATGTACACATTTTTGTAGAGTTTTTTTTGAAATTAACTGCTTTCTTCCATTTTTGTATAAAAATAGAGAGGCAGAAGCAATCGAGTTATGTAAATTATTCAGATAGAAATCTGTATGTTTAGCGTAGTAAATAAGGATGTACATAACATAATTCCTATCAGTAGAGCCCTTTGAAGAAATTTATGCCTTCTGAGGAATGAATAGTCATCAATATTTAGCATTAAACCAATCAACCTTTTCTTGATTTCCATCGTGTAACAGTGTACTTTCCCTTCATCAGTGGTATCCTTTCGATCGAGCCTTCACATCTTACTTGATTTTCATTTGCCAGTTATCTTAGGGGAGGGGGTTTGTTTCCCGAAGTTAGCTTAGACCTACAATAATATTGCTTCAGAACTGTTTGGTTATCTGACGAAATATAGATTCCTGAAGAGACTTCTCTACATTTGTAGTTGTTATCATTATTGCCACTCAACAATATAGTAAAAGACTTCGGTAAAACCGAGGATATGACAATAAAAAATCTAAATATTTCAATTCACCTTTTATAACGAACTGATATTTGACCAGAATAAACCCAGGATCTAGACTGAGGAGCACCCCATATTATTTTCAAGAAAGTGGGAAGAAAAAGCTAAAAAAACCTAGTCACATATATCCTTTTATTTTCATAAAGCATTTTTTGTGCAATATTTTAGTTTGGAATGTCATGAAAAAGGGTTAGTGATCAACTACTGCACAAAGAACTAGCAATCCACGAGACCTATATTCGAAGGAATGAATCATATCAAAGAAAACTCAGTTATCACAAAGGTGAAACATATCTTGCAGCTAGACACGTTCTCATCTACATAAAAATAACAAGAATTTATTTTGACCTACCCTTTCCATTTACTACATGAACTATACCGAAGAAAACCTACCAATCACAAAGGTGAAATATATCTTGCAGCTGGATACGTTCTCGTCTGCATAAATAATTATAGAATTTATTTCGACGTACCCTTTTCATTAACAACAACGAGAACCCAAATCACGTGTATTTTATAGGTTTCCAGAATATCCGCGTTGTACATGTGTCGGTGAATTTTTCATTTTGACTTTAGGACTGGAAATATGAATGTTAATATCATTAATAATCCGATCGAGCGGACAGTGTTTCTCACGTCAATGACATAGTGTTCCGTGTTCCATGAACCTCATTACACCTTGAAATAAGGGTCTTGAAATACTCTACCAATGGACGGGCACGTTTTAAACATCATTGACAAGAGCCAGTAAGAACCTTATTTGAAAGTGTATCACTATGTTCAAGCGGGTAGTGTTTCTTAAGTCACTGGCATAGTGTTCCATGAATCTTATTACACCATGAAATAATGGGCCTTGAAATACCCTGCCAATAGGCGAACAGGTCTTTGAACATCATTGGCAAGAAGGCAGTGAGAACCTTATTTTTAAGTGCAATAAGGTGCATGGAACACTATGTCAATGACATGTTCCATGCACCTTACTACACTTTAAATTAAGTGCATGGAACATAGTGTTCCATGCACCTTATTGCACTTTCAAATAAGTTTCTCACTGCCTTCTTGTCAATGATATTTAAAGATCTGTTCGCCTATTGGCACGGTATTTCAAGCCCCTTATTTCAAGGTATAATAAGGTTCATGGAACACTATGTCAGTGACGTGAGAAACACTGCAACTTCGATTGGAGAGTGCGTCTCATGTCATTGACATAGTGTTCCATGCAGTAAGAACCTCATTTGAAATTGCAATAACGTTCATGGAACACTATGTCAATGATATGAGAAGTACTCTCTGCTCGATCGAGAGCAGTTCAAGTTGCAGATCTTTGCAATAACGTGGCAGATTCGTTTCATTAAATAGACAAGCAAAATATTATTTTCTTCCACATGTTCGGTCCAGATGAGATCAATGAATTTACTGAATCATTTGTTGTAAACTCCTTCTAATATCTTCGGAAAAGTACTCAACTCAGTTGGTTTCTTCAGAATCTAATGAAATAACAACTGAAATTTCATTTCGTATTTCAGAGAACAAAATTGAAATATTTTCGGGCTATAAACATCATTTTTCATTATAAAAACATAAGATTTCAGGAGATGAAGAAAACCCATCTTCTGAAGACGCCAACTTTGTTGGTGGAACACGAGTCGAAAATAGTATCGTAGTTTTGATGTTTGGGAAAAGTGCTCATTTTCGAATAATCTTTTGGTTCGTTTTCAAGTATCACCAAGAGACGATTTTGGATACTAGCAATTCAAGATTCGTATAGTAGCATATTTTCCCATCAGTTGACGTCATTATTTTATCTTGAATTGCATATGATTGACATTTCACTAAATGTTTAACTCATTTATCAATTTTAGGATATTTCGATCTGAATATTTCGTTATTTTTAATAATTTCAATTTACTTCTACATTCAATTTTTCCATGAATTTTCAAATCTATTAACATTTTTTTAGATATTGGAAGTCCGAACCTGTAATAGGTACAATAGGTGCCGCTTTTTTGGATGCAGTTACCACTCACAAAATATTTTTGCAATGTATGCATTTATTAAATCCATTAAATCGTCTCCGCAAATTCTTGTCGCCCTGTAACACTATCCGTTTTCATCGCAACGCGGCGTTACGCTCAAATTGTTCGAAACAATTTATCACTCGCTAGGAGCATCTGCAATTCACGACCTCCTCACGGCCGTTACATAACAATCGACTATCGACGTAACGTTCTCGTTACATCGCCTTCAATTATTTCGTCAATTAGCGTGCGACGCGCCATAAAGCAACAATGAGCCGCAGCAACTGCAAAATCCTAATGAGAATGGGTCGGAGACAATGCGATTCATTAGGAGATTACGATTATTCAGAACCGGGGACTTTCTAGCCGGAGAAGTAAAAAACGGAGCGATATTATATCGAGATTTTGCAACGGTTGTATAATGTTTCTTGTAACGCTTGTGGAGGACAATTTCGAAATAATTCGGGCAATAGTTCACCAACGGAATGGAAATCGCGTGCAGCGTAAAGGTTGAAATCAAGTCTCGCTTATATCCATATTTCTCGACATCGAAGAAGCATTAGACAATACACTTCCTAAAATTTTGGATCAGCTTTGGCAGAAAAGTGCATAAAATCGACCATTACTGACTCGATCTACCCCATGCTCATAAACAAAATGCATCCTTACAAAATTAAATTAACGCAAGAACTGAATGAAGATGATTTCGATCGACACTTGCAATATTGCGAGGTAGTTGATGAACGAGCGGTGGAAAGAAAATCCACATTTTATTTTCAACATTTGCTTCAGCAAATTTAATTTTTCATGAAGTACATACTCAACGTCGACAAAAATTAAATGTATGGGTTGGAATTTTTGGTGACCGTATTGTTGGTCCATTATTAACCGGACAAATGTATCTGAAGGTTCTGGAAGATACTATCAATCCCCTTCTCACTGATATTATTAAAAATTACCACAATTATCTGGAGGATCTGTAAATATTTCAACTCCTTCGCACTATGCTTTGCCAGTTCGACAATACTTAGATCAGACTTTTTCGGATCACTGGATTGGGAGGCGGGGCACTATCGAATGGCCACCACGATCACCAGACCTTTCACCGTTAGATTTCTTTCTGTGGGGTCATTTGAAAAGCAGAATTTACTGTACTCCTTCTGCATCACTCGAAGAGTTACGGCAACGAATCACAAATAAATGTTGCCAAATCACTAAAGAAATGCTCCACAATGTTCGAGAACGTTTCCAGCAGAATCTCTATTATTGCACGGAAGCTGGATGTGCCTATTTTGAGCATATGCTAACTGCTAACATATAATAAAGTAAGTAACTTCAACACTAAATTTAATATGGTCCGTCCAAATTAGATTAAAAAAAAATTTACTCCGTTGTTTAGAGTATTCCAAGATCTTTCAAACGATATGCGACTCGCCCCCAGTTCTCTATTAAAATTCCAAGGGTTGTTCACCCCTCTGCTCCGGGATTAAAGTGACAATGCTGTAAATGGGTAAAAAAACTGCACCTTCCAATAAAAATCGACCTGTCTGAGCGTTTTTTAGGATTTGCACCCTGTATGTGTTATTAACAGGAGTATAGTCGTAAACCCAGGACAGAGATATCAATCAGCCTAGCTAGGATCG